ACTTTGGTATATGTTTTAACCTTGATATTTGTTTGAATATTTTTATAGTAATATACTAGAATAATAACCAAAAGGAAAAATATCTTATGCTGATATGAAGAACTATAGCAATGTTGCACAGAATGACTCTAATACTACCAATGGAGAGAAATCATTGATTCTAAAATACACTTTATCACTGTCACATACTCTTACAACGATGAAATTATACAACTGTATAATTTGTATATAACTGCTTGCTTTAAAAGTATGACACTTTCGTCATCATATGTCGTTTATCATAAGGACACAAGAAAATTACTTGGCATTTGTTAGGGAATTGCATTTCAATCAAAATTGATGTGCACTCAAGTGATTAATTCTAGTGTTATTGTCATTGTCAGAACATAAAGGTCTGTTCTAACATGCTCAGATTAGTGTAATAAAATTTTTACCAAAAATGTTAGTTTTCCCCCTACTAGCTCTAATTCCTAAGCTATTTCTTCTCCATCCTTCTTATGACTACATTTTTAAGTTACACTCATTGCAAAAATGAATATAAATATAGATTTTAAATAAATACTATGTACAATTTTGGGCTAGAGTAGTATCAAATTGAGTGTAAAAGCACTGTTTACTCAAGGTTAAAAATAATTTATTCAGGAGGCAAGAGAACTGTTTTATATCTGCCACTAACTGGTTGTCTGACTTTATACAAATCAATGCAATTTAAACCCATGATGACATACACATACTTAATAGCCACAATGGTCACTTTGCTTCTTCCAAATCTCAATTTTTTACTTTAGATTTTGATTAAATGATTTCTCAGATATTTGCTCATTTTGAGTCTTATTATTTTCCTTCTGTAAAACAAATACAGTTTGACTAAGTTTTTATCTAGTTGTATTCTAGGCACAGTGCTAAGTGTTCAGTGGGTAAAGGTAAATAGCATGGGATAGTCCCCTTTACAGAGTTCACAGACTAATCAATAAACAGGCATGTGATCTGTAGTCCACTGTTATATAGCCGTAAGTATCAGGGTGAACAGCCTAGAAAAGGAATACATGACCCAGTCTGGTTATAGACAGAAGTCATGGAAGTTTCTGTTTGCTCCATATCTGAGTTGAGTCTATAAGAATAAGAAAGGGTTAGCCTCCTATGAGGTGGAAAAAAAGTCTGTTGAAAAACACTGGGAACTGTTGCTAAGGACTGAGTGGGAAGCTGAGGGAGAAAAGGCTGAGAAAGAAGCAGTGAGAGGATTCTTCCACCTGTATCTCTGAAAGTGGATGACTGACACTACTCCTGTCCTGATCTACAAAGGCATAAATTGGACTATGTTAAATTTTTGTTAAAAAGTAGAGTCTAGACCTTAGTTTATGGTGTGGTTCATCCAATATAGGAACCCCTGAAGCACCCCTGAGGTTATTAGCAAAATATTTCTTTACCATTAGGTAAAGAAAGGTCAGATGCATTTATCCACAGCACCAGCAATGTATTAATAACTGACTGCCGCCAGAGGCCAGAACATCAGCAAGCTTCAATAATGAATCAAAACAACAGTAACAGAAACTGCAGCAGCTTCAATTACTCACCATATATTGAGTACCAAAGGGAAAATATGAATTGCACTAATGTTTCAAAATACAGTCATTCCTCCATACCTAGGATCACCTCAAATTCCAAAATCTGCAGATGCTCATTCTCTGATATAAAATGGCATAGTATTTGCATATAACCTATGTATATTCTTCCATATACTTTAAATCACCTTTAGAATACTTATAATACTTAATACAATGTAAATGCTATGTAAATAGTTGTTACATTATATTGTTTGGAAATTGATGAGGAAAAAAGTCTGTATGAGTTTAGTACAGACATATTTTTGTTCCAAATATTTTCAATCCCCAATTGGTTGAATTCATGGATGCAGAACCCATGGGTGAAAAGGCCTGACTATATGCTATTTAGATGAATTCTCACACTCCTATGAGATTGAAACTACATTTTTTAATATTTTCACATTACAGATAAGGACATTAAAACACAGTAAAGATAATATAACTTTTCAAAGATTTCATAATTAGTAAATGTGAGCTAAAGTTGTCTGTTTTGACTTTCAAAGTTTTTTCCACTCTGAAACTCAACATAGTCTTCCAAGCCCAGCTTGTCATCAAGATCACTGGAGAAGGGTGGAAAGAAAACCAAGTTCCCGAACCCTTGCCCAAGATTTACAAAATCAGAATTTGTGCTGTGGGTCCTTAGTATCCGAAATTTTTAAACAACTCTATAATTCTGATGATCACCCTGATTCAGAAATGACTGGTCAGTTTTAATTTAAGCTAAATGTAATCCATTAAAAAGTATGAAAGTTTTGAGTTAACATTGTATGGGGAGACTAGAGCATTTTGAAGGATGATAACTTAAGCAAAATGGCCTCCTACAATCTCAGTATGCATTTGAATCATATTTGAAGCATGCTCAAAATTTGTAGACCAAGTGATGACATTCTCAAATTATCAAAGCTTTTTTTTTTTAATGTAATGCTGATGCTGTTGTTCCATGAAGCATACTTCGAATGGCAAGGTCATAGACTCTTAACTTATTAAAGACAGGGATCTTTTCATTTCAATGACTTGAGTACATACCTAGCACAAAGCAGCAGGTGTTTTTATATATTTATTGAATAAATGACTCTCCCCCCTCCTTCAAGAAGAATTCCCTCATCTGACTAAGACCTTTTGTTTGTACTTACCCTAAAATCTCTGTGTACAGATATGCTACATCCTTTTCAGCACTTAAATAGTATATTGAAGAGGAGATTTTTTTTTTTTTTTTTTTTTTTTGAGACGGAGTTTTGCTCTTGTTACCCAGGCTGGAGTGCAATGGCGCGATCTCGGCTCACCGCAACCTCCGCCCCCTGGGTTCAGGCAATTCTCCTGCCTCAACCTCCTGAGTAGCTGGGATTACAGGCACACGCCACTGTGCCCAGCTAATTTTTTGTAATTTTAAGTAGAGACGGGGTTTCACCATGTTGACCAGGTTGGTCTCGATCTGCCGACCTCGTGATCCACCCGCCTCGGCCTCCCAAAGTGCTGGGATTACAGGCTTGAGCCACCGCGCCCGGCCGAAGTGGAGATTTTGTTTGTTTGTTCCTTCTTTCTTTTCATGGATAAGTTGCTTGAGAACAAGGTTTGTATCATTTTCTATATGTACTCTTAGTATCGAAGACAGCGTTCAGAACATAAAAGGCACTTAGGGAACATGTGTTTTTTTAAAAAAAATAAATAATTAGTAAATTGAAAACCTGCTTTTTCTCCCCCAAAGTGGCAATTGATCTCCCACTGACATGTAGTTCTCTAAATCCAAGTATGATCACAAATTCTCCGGAGAGTAGAGGAAGAGGTAAAGTGCCAATATCAAAGAAAAAAGAGAAATGGGTGTCTGCGAAGGTACACCCTGACACAGAAATTCACACACAGCTTCATCCTTAGCTCAGCCACAGGAGTGCAAAGAAGTCAGCAAATGAGGAAATGTCTCCCCAGGACCAGACTCAATACATCAGCAGTTGTCATTTTCAACTGGTGTGTTTTGTCATGGAGGGCAGCCGCTCTGCCAAGCCAGAATTTGTTTGGCCACTGTCAAGGTCAAGGTCCATTCTCAGATCTGGCACTGAGTCTAGATCCTGGCTTCTCAAAGTGGATTAGGTGGGCTCTTGGAGGTGTGCTTTGGCTGCACTCCCAATTCTCATACCTAAAGGCTGGTGTTGTCCTCTGAGGACAACTGCCTCTCAGTCCCTCTTTGGATCTGAGTCAAGCTCCCTGACCTTAGGCCTGTGCACTATTTCAGAAATTGCAATTGCCCATGTCTGCCCTGCTACAGCAATAAGCTGTGTGTCATCATCATCATAAGTATATTCTGGCAGGAAGTACATAAGTTAACCTGAGATCAACTCCCAGAATCAGAAAATGAGTTACAGCGGACAAAAACAAAAACAATGAATGAATGAATGAATGAACCTCTTTTAAAATATATGGGTAATTATATGAAATCCCATCTCTGCTTCCCTCTGTCAGTTCCTTAAAATTGCTTCAATTAATAACATTTTTATGTAAAAGAGGGGTTATATTGAAAGACAAGCTAAGTCTTTTCCAGAAAATCAACGAACTAGTCACACAACCAAGGGAAAATAACTACCTTTGCAGGCCTTCTGGCCTGTCTTAATTTCTGTTTGAACTCCCTAGACTTTCTCACCTCAAAGGAGGCATTTGAATGCAGTCATTGTTTATACAGAGAAGAAAGAAAAGGGATAGTAATATAAATTCGAAAGTTAATTTCAAAATCCAGTGTAAGAAAAGAAGAGATGGTCTGATTGGCCTGGAGAGGGGGACAGTAGTTCAGAGGTATTGTAACTTATTCTATCCCTTACTAGATTTGTGTATTTCACTGTTAAAATACACTGTCATAGTGGAATGTAGAACGACATGAGAAAGTGACCAGAGTGCTTGTGCCTTTGTGGCTTGTGGCTCTTCTATCTTGTTCTCTCCCACCCTTCTCTCTTCCTTCACTCACATGCACACATATATCTGCATCTATCCATATACACCTAGAAGTAGAAATACATCTATAGATACCTATTTATATGTGTAATATATAAATAATCTAGGTATAAAAATAGGTAGACATACAGATATAAATATACTGTAAACTAACATGGCAAATTTCTGTAAGCTGGAATAGGAGGTTCAGCAGGTGAGCAGCCCAGAGGGCTCTATCAGAAAAGCCATCTTGTCTGGCTTCTGTGATAATCTCCGTGTTAAACTGGACCGTTCCTAGTGTCTTTTATGGTAGCCCTACTTTTAAGCGGAAGGGGTAGGAATGTAAAAAGGACTCTCTAAACCTTCTTGAAATGTCTCCCTCAGGGAGCCCATCACTAGGGACGCCAGGAGCAGCTTCCAACAGGGCCCAGGAGAGGCCGCGGGAGAGGACCCCTTCCCTCTCAGAGAGACGCGTCAGGAAACAATTCCAGGCTCTGACCTGGGAAGACAAGAACAGGACACTTCTCTCTACTAGACTTCCAGCCGCTGCTTCAGAAAATAGAATACTCTGAGACCCTCCCCATTCCCCGCTTCCAACCAGAGTGATGAGAAGTTAGATGGAGAATGACCCTAAGGGATCGATGCCCAGTTTTCTGGAGGAGAAGGGAGTGGTAGGGACTTGCCTCGGGATGGGGATACCATGGCAGGCAGCGCGGACCAGAACCCAGCCTGCCCCCACTCCCCCGGCTCCTCCGGCCCCTTTTCCTTCGCATCCCGCACCCTGCTCGCGAGGGCAGCGTCCCCAGCACACGCCCCAGCACCACTTTCCTCTGACGTCCGCCTCCCAAGCTCTGACGATCGCCCCCGCCGGCCGCCCTTATAAAGGGGACTTTTCCCAATACTCGATCGATTGCCACCTCGCCCCGCGCCGTGCGCCCTCCGCCGGCGCCCACGCCTGTCAACTCTGCGCTTTCCCAGGTTCTTGGAGACGCCGAGTGAGGAGCCGCCCTGACCGACCGGACCCCCTCCGCACTGCACCTCTGACCCACCCCGCACCCTCCCTTTCTGCACCCTCGCACCCACACCCCTCAGTTCCAGGGGGCGGCGGCCCCGGGTGGAGCGCTTTCCCTTGCAGCTACCACTCCAGGTAGGAGGGGAGCGGGCATTCCTGCGCCTAGGGGGCCGCGCCCTCGGAAAGGCTGTGGGCACCGAGCCCGGGCGGTTTTGGAGGGGAGGGACGCGGCATTTTTGCCTCTCGGTGGGATGCAAGGGCGGGTTTGCTGTCTGGCGCCTTTGCTGTCAGGGTGCAAGAGGCTACAAAGTCTGGGCGCAGGAGATGGGTAGAAGGCGGCGAGGAAGGGCCGCGGGGGGCCGGGAAAGCACCTGGCTGCTGCGGAGAGGAACTTGCTTGCTCGGTTGCTCACAAAGGCAGAGAAGACCCAGCCCGCGGGCGCTTCCCTTGCCTCCTCTAAATCCCAGAGAGGCTGATTCCTTCCCCAAAAATCTCTTCACCCATCTTCCTGCATGGACAAATATCAGAGTTTTCCCCAGAAACTTGTGTTTGAGAGTTGGGGTTCATGGAACAGCCGTGGTTACGAAAGCAAAAAAATAAATAAAAGAGAACAAGAATTTCAGAAGGTGAATGCTTTTCGAACTTGACATCTGTCTTCTAAGAGTCTTGCGTTTAATAGCTTTGATCCTTCTGTTGTGTTTTTAGGCAATCATTTTTTATGCTTTTCTTGTATGTATCATTAATGGGGGGTGATGAATTGAATGAAAGATATTGGGCGAAGAATAAGATCAAGAGAGTGGATCCTTTAAACAACAAAAACCTATTTAGTTGCTACAGTAACTTGAACTACAGAAACTTGTTGAAAATGTGGAGTTTGATGTGTTTTTGAAATGGATTTTTCTAACCATTTTTTTCAGATATTTTCATTTCAGATTACTATTGAAGCCATTCTCTGAAGTTTTTTGAAAGGATAGATAAAAGAATGAATAAAAATTGATAAGTAAAAGTTCTCAGAATAGTCCTTTATGAAACAACGTGAATAGTAATTCTAGAAGAGTAACTTAGTTCCAAACCGCAAAGACAGCCCTACTCTTTGTAAATGACAATTACTGAGTTAAGATTTGCACAATGAGGTTAATTTTAAATTTAAAGCATGTATGAAACACAAAAGGATTATGATTTCATTTGTTAAACTACATTTCCACTTTTTTTTCTGTTTCTTGAAAACTCTAATGTTAACTTGTTAAATGAAGCAGGATAACATAGTGGACCCTTATTGGTAACTGTCCATTTCACATGTGGTTTCAGTGTTGTACTCTTTCTGTGAGAGTCACAGGATCTCCCATGAGCCAGCTGGTTTATTCCTGGCTGCCTACATGTGCATAGTGCTTGACTGATTTATAATACATTCCTGTATTTTCTTCAGAAGTCTTAATGAAGTAGCCAGCTGCAGAAGAATCAGGATCATTAGATAAAAATGGCTTTCCATGTGGAAGGACTGATAGCTATCATCGTGTTCTACCTTCTAATATTGCTGGTTGGAATATGGGCTGCCTGGAGGACCAAAAACAGTGGCAGTGCAGAAGAGCGCAGCGAAGCCATCATAGTTGGTGGCCGAGATATTGGTTTGTTGGTTGGTGGATTTACCATGACAGGTATGTTCAGAGGCCACCTGCTCCATGCCGTCCTTCCTTCCCTGACATCTGTGAGTGTGCAGCGTGTGGCTTCAGAATGACAAAGCAAACGTTGCTCTTTGCCCTTTGGAGATTCTTTATGTTCACTAGTTATATAATTTTAAAATAATTTTCTATTCATGTAAAACTTAAAAATAAATTGGTTTCAACTCAGTAATACTTGAACAAAAATGATTTTATTATAAATCACTGGACTGAATAGCCATGAAATAAATCTTGGCTCTCTGGGTGGCTGAGTGGGTGGAAACAGTAAAAACAAAGAGGTGGGGGAATGAGAAGCTATCCTAGTATTACAATTTATGTATCTGCAAATTAATAGGCAGCATCTCAGCATGTCCATTAATACATGCATAAAGTTGTGACTTCAAGTTTTAAATAAGTGTTAATGAATACTAACTAGTGATGTTTTTTAATCTGCATAAATTTGGGGGTGATAATATTCCCAATTGAGTGCTGCCCTGTTTTAAAACCTAATTCTTTCATTTAATAACTAATTCCTCACAGGAAGACAATCATATGTTATACTCCACAGCACTAATAAAGAGATTTCACCAACCTCGTTATAAAAGAGAAAAGCGAGGGCGTGTCCTCCTAGGAATCCCCAGGCCACCATCTGTAGCTATCTCTCATTCAAACCTTCTTTGTGTTAGCAGAAGCTAATATTCTTTCCTACTTTGCACTAAGGTGGTTCTGTTTAAAGGGTGATTTCTTTCTTTTTTATATTCTTCTTTGTCTTTGAAAATAATTTGAAAAACATCAACTTAAAATTACATGTTTAATATTTAATACAGTTGCACTAACAGCACATATTTCATTACAGAGTCTTAGTAGAGTTTTTAAACATTTGCAACATAACAGGAACTCTGAGTGTTCATTGGAAAAATATCCCATGGGAAATTATATCCAGTGATGCCCAATTTCAGTCCCAAAGTGCAATTTTAAAATGATTCACCCTGTACGTCAGATAGTTTACCAAACCAGTCTGGAAAGAGGCCATCCATGTTCTGAACACCTTGACTTTGGCCATCTGAAACCTACAGTGTTTTGGGTGAACCATCAGTTTTATCTTTCAGACATTCACATTTTATCTTTGTTTAGCTCTTTACCCACTGTACGTGGATTCATTTGATCTTTTTAACAGCACTATGATGAGGCTCTGGGGTTAAGTGAAGATCCAGGGTTACAAGGTTAACAAGGACCAGGGCTGGAGTCAGAACCACACACAGTTCTCCGGTTGGCCATGCTGGGGGCCATCCCATGCTGTGCCACATGCAGCCCTGTAACTAGTTTCACTTTCTTTCTCTTTTTTTTTTTTTTTTTTTTTGAGATGGAGTTTCGCTCTTGTTACCCAGACTGGAGTGCAATGGCAAGATCTCGGCTCACCGTAACCTCTGCCTCCTGGGTTCAAGCAATTCTCCTGCCTCAGCCACCCAAGTAGCTGGGACTACAGGCGCGCACCACCATGCCCAGCTAATTTTTGTATTTTTAGTAGAGACGGGGTTTCTCACCCTGTTGACCAGGATGGTCTCGATCTCTTGACCTCGTGATCCACCCGCCTCGGCCTCCCAAAGTGCTGGGACTATAGGCGTGAGTCACTGTGCCCGGCCTTTATTTCTTTCAAAAGGTGTACAGTTGTGTATCAAAATATGTTGTTTATGGCAAATGATTATAACCCTCTATTGCTCTTATTTAATATTCTGTTTAACATGGCCATAAAAATGATATTTTTTAATTTGTTTTTACCATTTAGAAGGGTTTTTTTTAACCTAAAACGCTATTAAAATGTATAGAAAATATTTGAATGATGCTATATTTTATAAAGGGCCATGGTCTTTCTCAGTTTACAAAGCTTTTTTTTTGTTTCTCAGAACTCAAAATAACCTTGGTCAATATCATAATTCATTTAAAATCTGAACCATACTACCTAATCTTGTTGGACTTATTGACCTGGATATATATTATAAAAAATCAAGATCAAAATATTGATTCTTTTAAAAATGAATATAGTTTAAGTGTTTGTGTTCTCACTCATGAATCTGACACAAAATATACAAACATGGAGAGCAAATGCTGTCATAGAAGAGACTAAATTCATTTAAAAAGGGGGACTTTTAAATCATAGTAAGTAACCAAGTCCTCACTTCTATATCACCATACTTGCAATAATTCAGGCACCAATTTTCTCTTTGGATAAGGGACAGTAGGCTTACACAATGAAAAATGATCACTAATGAGCTTCGTGCTTATAAGACCATCAGACCATTTACTTCATGCAGTGAAACACTGAAGTGTTAGCAATTCCAGTTACCTAGTAGAAAGGTAAAGTTTCAAGTTCTCCGCCTGTGAGAATTCATTTCTTCAGGTCATGGTGGCACACAGAATAAATTTTTTAAAAAGCCATTTTTCAAATTTCAGCAGGGCTTAGAATAAGAAAAGCAAATTATGGCATTTGTTATTAACACTGGGCATAAAAGCTACTGCAAAGGTTGGAGTGATTGCTAAATATGTATTTGTCTTCAGAATTTTGTATATAAACTTTTCATTTAAATGTACTTAAAATTCCTATGTAGGAAAATCTTTTTATGTCAACCCTAAGACTCCCTCTTCTTTGCTTTGTATTACATTAAAAGCCAGATAAATTTTGGCATAAACACAACAGAAACATAGCCTAGGTAGTTTTGTATAGATATTATTTTATTTACTTACATCATAACTGCAAGATTTTAGAAAATTTATCAGAGTTAAATTTTATTTCTAACAGGATAATGTAACCTAGGATTCAGCCTCATACCTGATAAATGACCTGCGACCCTCATAACTTTACACAAATTCTATATAAGAATTGTTTTGAATATTTTGGCCACACTGTAACCTCAAAAGGGCATACAGTGCAAAGATTATTGTTCTCTTCAACATTAGTTTTTAAGCAAGGATTTCTCTGTTTCCTCAGAGAAAATGGTACTAGCATTATATTGCCTATTTGGAGAAAATATTAATCTGTAGATCATTCTTGGCTCAAACCTGTTAAATCAAAACTTATTTTTTTTATTCTTTAACTGCCTTCCCTCAGGTATTATGCTATTAAAATTGTATTTATCTGAATAAGACATCTATAATTATTTCCTGTCAAATAGTAAATACCTTACTAAAAGATCCATATTAGAATATAGAATTGCAAGTGTGTGTGTAGTTCATGTTTTACATTCTTCTGAGTGCTAGGTAGTCTAGGCCTTAAGGTAACATTTAAACTCACTTTGGACACCTTGTAGTAGAAGTGTCATCTTGATTCTGTCTTCACTCTTAGCAGTAAATACAACTTAGTTGTGACGGAGATAAGAGTTGCAAGCTCCAATATCCCCAGAGTGTTTAAGAAAAGACTGTATTAGTGAAAAGCACATTTCCACATACATACACCCACCTACATACATGCATGTACAAACACACCACTCCTGGAGGACAGTATAAAAACATTAATACAATTAAAATGGAAGGGCCTTGATTTAAAGAAATTTTACCCGTGACCTCAGACTATATAATATATAATATCATGAAAATGTTGCATTTAGAAAACATCTAGGACAGCACTATCCAATAGAAATATAATGTGAGCCACAAGCATAATGCTAAATTTTCTACAAACCTCTAAAAACAGAAAGAAATAGGTAAAAGAACATTAATAATGTTCACTTACGTAACTCAATACGTTCAACATGTTTTCATCAATGTATGATCAATGAGAGAAAAAACACTTGAAATCTGGTGTATATTTTACACTCCTAAAACAACTCAATCCAGACTATTCACATTTCAGGTGCTCAATAACCGCTAGTAGCCACTGGGTTTGGCAGGCGGATGCAGGTATAACAGGCAAAGCAGTATCGCTCCCTCACTTTTCATTCTGTTTCAGCTACCTGGGTCGGAGGAGGGTATATCAATGGCACAGCTGAAGCAGTTTATGTACCAGATTATGGCCTAGCTTGGGCTCAAGCACCAATTGGATATTCTCTTAGTCTGATTTTAGGTAAGTGAAAGTGCAAATCTCAGTGACTCACTCTGTAAAGCATAAAGAACAAGAGTATAAACAACAAGTGGAATAACTAGTCAAACGCTGTAAATAACCATTGTAAAAAAAAAAAAAAGAAATGTCCCCAGAGATCTCTAAGGACCTGTTACCAGAAATTGGTAAGTAGCAGAACACTAACGCTTAGATTATTTGATGTCTTGATTATGGAATATATTTTTAAAATCTTTGGTTCTGTGGCTATCAGCACAGTGAATTTCTTAACAAAATCATGTATTATTTCTTTCAAAACAAGTATGAATATATCATTAATAATGAATCAACCTGACATGTACCTGTATGTCTTTTAGCAAGTCAAATGGCCAAGAGGTCAAAATTATTATATAACAGAAGGTACCTCATTTTTTGGCACTCAAAGGCTTTTATTGAATCTGCACTTATTCAAAACACCTAAATGCCATGTTGGGTGATAGAAATGCATTAGACATTTAAGTGAGCAATGTGCTGTTCATGTTTTTTAATTCACATACCTCAATATGGTCTCCTTGTCCTTTGGACACATACAATGGTAAGTGTGCTAAATAATTTATATTAGGTTGCTAGACCTCATATTTATTGTAGGTTGGTACTGTGTGCACATTATATTTCAGACTGGTTCCTTAATCCATACAGGTGTTCTGAAAAATGCATTTCCCTTGAGAAATGTCAGCATAGTAAAAGACTATTATATTAAATTTTTTTTTGTATTTTTAGTATAGATGGGTTTACTAAAAATATAAAAATTAGCCGGGCTTGGTGGCAGGTACCTGGAATCCCAGCTACTTAGAAGGCTAAGGCAGAAGAATTGCTTGAACCCAGGAAGCAGAAGTTGCAATGAACTGACATTGAGCCACTGCACTCCAGCCTGGGCAACAGAGCCAGACCCTGCCTGAAGAAGGAAAGAATTCCTTTCTCATGATGTTGCTTAACGTTGTGCATCCATCACCTACAACCCCTACCCTGACTCTTCAGCAGCCACTGATTAAGAGCAGCCTGACTCAGAAGGGAGATGTGCCAGGCCAGGCTCGCACATTCAGAGTCAGGACCAGTATTCACTGCACCGTGACCTGGATCAGAACAAATCCTGCCCTCAAGACAAGTTCTCACCCTGTCATCCAGGCTGGAGTGCAGAGGCATGATCACAGCTCACTGCAGCCTTGACCTCCCAGGCTCAGGCCATCCTCCCACCTCAGCCTCAGCCTCCCAAGTAGCTGAGACTACAGATACACGCCACCATGTCTGGATAATTTAAAAAAAATTGTGGCACTAAATTCTCACTCTATTGCCCAAGCTGGTCTTGAACTCCTGGACTCAAGCAATCCTCTTGCCTCAGACTCCTAAAGTGCTGGGATTATGGGTGTGTGCTACCACACCTGGCCAACATGGTACTTCTTAAAAGACTGGACACATTTCAAGAAACTTGAACATTTAACAGTTAATTTTCAGCCTCTCCATAAATAAATAAATAATTAATTAATTAATTAAAAAAAATTTCTCTGAAACACTTGTTTAATTTTTTAGGTGGTCTGTTCTTTGCAAAACCTATGCGTTCAAAGGGGTATGTGACCATGTTAGACCCGTTTCAGCAAATCTATGGAAAACGCATGGGTGGACTCCTGTTTATTCCTGCTCTGATGGGAGAAATGTTCTGGGCTGCAGCAATTTTCTCTGCATTGGGTAAGGACCAACTAAGTTGTTCTAGCTTCATCTCTGTAGTTAACCAAACATCAGATATACAACTTTACTTTCTTCACCCTTGGCTCCTTTTATTAAAACCATATACTGAGTTGTATTTACATGCATCAAAGCTTAATGGAAATTCTGCATTTCCATTAAGGTGGCAGAGATTAAATAAAACCTCAACTATACTTTTTATACTTAAATTGGCTCATTAGAGCAATAACCATGAATTATAATGATCAATTTGCTTTTATGAGTCATATATGATTTAGAGCAAAGCCTAATGAATTAAGCATAGCTAAAAAGAGCAATTTACTTTAAAGAAATGTTTAAAACAAGAGTTCATGAGCCAGGGGTTAGTGAGAATGCTAATATATATTTTTGGTGTTGAAGAAATTTAAATAAATGATTTATATCTTAATTTCTTCCAGTAAGTGTTCTTTCTGCAAACTGAGAACTTCTTACTTCCCATTGTTTTCCCTGTGATAACTGCCATGTTAATTGGTATAAACACAAATATAAAACTAAACTCCCAAAACAACAGTGCTGCATGCTATTCTAAAAGCACTAATATTTTTAGAAATGTTGACTCTTTAAATAAAATGTCTAATTATAAATATATATAAAACAGAGTCAGTTCCAGCAGTAAATAACATTCCCGGAGAAGGGAGATATCACCAACCCTCTACTGACAGAATAAGTAAATAACTTAAGTCTTGCAGCAAAATTACAAACTTGAAACATTTCAATAAACTGATACAAAGCTCAATGTTATGGTTTAGTAGTAGAAAAATTAAGTATGGCAAAATGTAACAAGAATTTCCCCTTCTGTTTAAATGTTTTCTTAATAACTTATATGAGAAGGCTTGCCCATGCCTGAGCATCTCCTCACCTCCAATCTAATCTTAGAGACACAGGCTTAGAGATACCACATGGGGCCAGTTGAGAACTTTGGACCTGACTGAGGCTGTTGAGGCAGCTGGGAGATGGAAGCTCCCCATAAAGGTATGCACTGCCCCCCATTCAGAACACCTAATTTCATCCTGCAGCTTATTCGGGTTTTTCTTGATTCCCAAATGTAAAACACAGTGACTATTGTGGAAAGAAGAGTATTTGATAGTTATAAAATACAGTAAGAACTCAGTGGAAAATGCTTCATGTCCCTGGTGCCAGATAATAATATTCCGCACCCTCTGCCGCTCTTATATTCTAATGAAATTATGTGTAAAACTACACCTCCCTTTCCACCTGACTCCCATTAGCTGAGTAGCAATGGGGGTTTGTTTGCCATTGTTTGTAACTCTAAAAATTTTTAATTTTAAGAACAAACTACCTGCTGAGGTATCAAAAAAAGGAGTGGGCTGAGTATGTAACAAAATATAAAACATTCACTCATTGAATAAAGATCAACTTGTATAATAGAGCCCTGAAGAAAGAGTAGAATTAATAAGCTAATGCTTTTAAAGTATTTTGGAAATATGAAATACAGTAATGAAACTGTGAACTTTGTTATAATTAGTTTTGTATATATGTGTGTCTATGTCTATGCCGGTATTACAATATACAGTCAGTTTAAGAATGGAGATGCATTCTGAGAGATGCGTCGGTAGCCAGTTTTAATGTATGAACCTCATACAGTGCACTTACATAAGCCGAGTTAGTAGCACCCACTGTACACACGGGCCACATGGTATAACCAATTGCTCTTAGGCTACAAACCTGTGCAACTTGTTACTGCACTGAATGCTATAGGCAATTGTAATGCAATAGCTATGACGTCATTAAGCAGTAAGAATTTTTCAGCATCATGATGATTTTATGAGAGTATATGCATTTGTGGTCCAGCATTGACAGTAACATTATTATGTAATGCATGACTACATATATGAAATACAGTATTTTCTGTATCCTTCTACATACTCCCATGTATACATGTATCAAACAACATAGTGTGTGTGAGTGAGTGTGTGTGTGTGTGTGTGTGTGAAGTAACTTACTGGGTACTATGTACATTATTTGGGTAGTGAATGCAAAGTCTAAACTACCACTATGCAGTATACCCAGGTAACATAATTGTACCTGTACTCTTTAAATTTACACAAATCAAAAGTAAAAGGTGGACTTAATTAAAATTTAGTGTTCATTACAAATAATTTTATATATTCAATAATATATAAGTTCTGTTATCACCTTACTATGAGTGTGCATAGTTCACCATTGAAACATAGGAGAATCTTAAACTGTCTTCTTGGTAGAAATTGCCATCTTACAACTTTTTTATTTTTATTTTTTATTATTATTTTTTAATTGTACTTTAGGATTTTGTATATACAACCACATTGCCATGTATATACCTATGCAGGATTGTTGCATAGTTACATACATGGCAATGTGGTTTGCTGTTTCCATCCCCCGGTGACCTACATCTGGCATTTCTCCCCATGTTATCCCTCCCCAACCTTCCCACCCCCCCACCTGTCCCTCCCTCGACCCCCCAACAAACCCCAGTGTGTGATGCTCCCATCCCTGTGTCCATGCGTTATCATTGTTCAACACTCACCTATGAGTGATAACATGTGGTGTTTGATTTTCTGTTCTTGTGTCGGTTTGCTGAGAATGATGGTTTCCAGGTTCATCCATATTCCTATGAAGAACACGAACTCGTTTTTATGGATGCATAGTATTCCGGGGCGTATATGTGCCACATTTTCCTTGTCTAGTCTATCGACGATGGGCATTTGGGTTGGTTCCAGGTCTTTGCTATTGTAAACAGTGCTGCTATGAACATACGTGTGCATGTGTCTTTACAATAGAATGATTTGTAATCCTTTGTATATATACCCAGTAATGGAATTGCTGGATCAAATGGAATTTCTATTTCTAGGTCCTTGAGGAAGCACCACACTGTCTTCCACAATGGCTGAAATAGGTTACACTCCCACCAACAGTGTAAAAGTGTTCCTATTTCTCCACATCCTCTCCAGCATCTGTTGTCTCCAGATTTTTAATGATTGCCATTTTAACTGGTGTGAGGTGGTATCTCAATGTGATTTTAATTTGCATTTCTCTAATAATCAGTGATGATGAGCAGTTTTTCATATGTTTGTTGGCCTTATACATGTCTTTTTTTGAAAAGTTTCTGTTCATATCCTTCTCCCACTTTTGGATGGGTTTGTTTGTTTGTTTTTGTAAATCTGTTTTTGTTTTTTGTAGGTTCTGGATATTAGCCCTTTGTCAGATGGGTAGATTGCAAAAACTTTTTCCCATTATGTTGGTTGCCAGTTCACTCTAATGATTGTTTCTTTTGCTGTACAAAAGCTCTGGAGTTTAATTAGGTCCCATTTTGGCTTTTAATTAGGTCTATTTTGGCTTTTGTTGCCAATGCTTTTGTTGTTTTAGTCATGAAGTCCTTGCCTATGCATATGCCCTGAGTGGTTTTGCCTAGGTTTTCTTCTAGGGACATCTTACAACTTTTTAAAGAAATGTATATTTATACTTCTAACATCTCAAGTTCAGTGAATATTCATAACTTTACAGTGTTTTTATTTTATAGCTTCGTAATTAGACTAATATTTCCCAGAAATCCTCAAAGTATTACTTTGTTTTACTTACAATTGATTTAATTATTTAGAAAATATTTTAGGGAAAATTTTATCTCAATTTTAATAGTGATGATGGAGAGGTGATTGACTTATCTAGTATCTCTGAGTTACAGTTAAGCGACAGCATCTACTAGGGTCCCAAATCTTTGAGATCATAGTCAAGTAATCTTTATTTTATAATTGAACTTTGCATAATTCATTATATATATAGCTTTAAAGTGTTATTAAAGTAGAGAGAACTGCACCAAACGAAGAATTACAAAGAATTTCAAGTAAAGTTTCAATTTGAAGTAAATGATCTCAGGAAAAAAAAATAACATTTCATATATCTATTAAACAATAATTTAGTCAGTTACCTGAAGTCACTCATAAGTAATTGGTCTCTCTTCTTTGTTGTCATTTTTCAACTTCTTACTAGATTTTTCTTTTTAATAGATTTTTACTCCAGAAAATAATTTTATTTTATCACCATAGCAAAAGCACTGAAAAAGGTTTCTTGAAAAATGTTTCTTATTGATATTTTAGATCAACTATCTTATATTGATATAGTTCTTCTCCAAGGGGTTGTGTACACGATTAGCATGCTGACTGATGAAGGAGGGTAGTGTGTAAGACAGCTCAGCTAGCTGCAACTGATGATACACAAAATCACAGTATCCATTACATGTATGGATGTATGTACTTAATCATGTGACGTGTAAACTGTATAGTTTTGAGAACAATAGAGAAAGGGCTAGCAAAGCAACAAGTGAATTACAAACTGTCAGTCCAAGAATCAAAGCGGTCCAAACTGGTCATACCTCAATATGTTCAGTGGAAGTATATGGACCAAAAATCATAATAAACAATATTGTAAAGAGAAACATAAATTTTATTTCTAAGAGAAGTTTAAAATTTGATGATGAAAATTACTTAAAAATATGATATTCAAATCTAAGGCTGTTCAGTGTATTGGCATCCTAGGAGCAAGACTGGTTTGTTCTACCAATTAAATAAAGTAAGAGTGAACTTTCACAAATTCAAGAGGGAGAGATTGATTAACAACATTTATCAATTTGATAATTTGTTCCTACAAATTTTTCTCCATTCTTTGGTGCCTTTACCATTTTTGAGCTATCAAAGGCTAGGAGGGGGCAGAGTAAATACAAAATAGCAAATGAGTATTAATTGTAAAATGTGGAAATGGGTAATCATGTTTCCCAGAAAGACTTGTGTTTTTCATAGATGTGACTAGTATATTACATATACACTTATGTGCCATGTAATGATGTCTTGAACTGCATATATGACAGTGGTTCCATAAGATTATAATACCATATTTTACTGTTACCTTTTCTATATTTGGATATGATGTTTAGATATTCAAACAGTTACCATCATGTTACAGTTGCCTACAGTGTTCAGTACAGTAACAAGCTGTATGAGTTTGTAGCCTAAGAGCAATACATCATACCATGTAGGCGAGGTGTGTAGTAGGTTGTGCCATCAAGATTTGTGTGTGAGTACACACTGTCAAGTTGCACAACAATAAAATCACCTAACGACACATCTCTCAGAGCACATCCCTACTGTTAAGCAACACATGGCTGTATTTGATTAAGTCAGAGTTCCAGAGAGTGAAATTATTTTGAGTTCTTATAATGTAATTAAATTTCTCAGTAATTCAGGGCCTTCCATAACCATACCATGGATCTGTGTGTCTGCCACATAAGTAAGTTAGTAAAGCAGTAATTTCAGAAAGCAAAAGTATGACTCACTGAATTTATTGATATACAAATTTGAATATAAAAATTAACTTTAGTTGTTATCATCCACTGCCTTTCATATGACACAGAGGAAGATGTGGGTTATCATTGAACTTTCACTATGTTCTTGTACAGACAGCAGAATCTGTTTGGGCACCTTGACCACAGCACTTCCTTGTTTGTTTCAGGAGCCACCATCAGCGTGATCATCGACGTGGATGTGCACGCTTCTGTCATTGTCTCTGCACTGATTGCCACTCTGTACACCCTGGTGGGTGGGCTCTACTCTGTGGCCTACACCGATGTCGTTCAGCTCTTTTGCATTTTTGTAGGGCTGGTAAGTGGAAGCACCCACAGATTCTCCACCTTTTTTTCTGTAAGAGATAATGTATTTTATACTAACTCATTAAAAATTAGTAGAAATGTTATTTTCCCTGATGAGTAATACATACTTACATGCTATATGAAAGTTTGAATTTCTCCATAAATTAATTAGATGAAAAACTGGTCTTTTTGATAAAATTTGATAGAAAAGTGTGCTCTCCATTGAAGTGTTTGAAAGGTCTAGGTTTTCCTTTCCTTAATGCCTATATTTGATGGAAACTTATACATGATCTCCTTCAGGTATTTAAGGCAATCCATTTTCCTCTGCAAAGGTAAGAAAATTCAAACTCTAGTGGCAACCTGTAAAAGTCTCCCTTTATGTTAGTTGGTTAACCCTAAGAATGCTCATAGGACATAGACATGATCCCTTTGGAAAACTGTGGATTTCAAATATTAGTTATCACTATTTGAGTTTTTTAAAAAAAGAAAATTCTTAATTATATAAGGCACCAAAGAGATTTGCTATTATTGCCTTTATTATAGCTATGAAACATGAGTAGTATTAGCACTATACTAAAAGCACTTCTGTGTGTCTGAACACACATTAGTCAATGTTGAAGAAATGTGAAGAGTACAGTTATGTATGTAATACTCAATACCTAAGATGTATCAAAAGAAATATAAAAACTGGTGTGTCCATGCTGTGCTAGGGTTATCATAGGTTCACATACATTACATCATCATACACATATATTATCTCAGTTTTAGATTTTATAGGGGCAATGCCCTTCTGCGAATGCCTTTGCCATGGACAGAGCAAGCTAACACTAGAGTTCATGATTCATTTTCCCAAGGATGGTTAAGTACTCTTGATTCTTCTCATCTCTATTTATTTATCTTATAATGTAAAGCATTTCGCTACATTTTACTTTAGACACGAGACACTTAGAAATGAAAAATGAAGAAGTAATCTCATGCCCTTCTCTCCTTTTTATAAACTTTCTAGTATCTCTAATAATATCCTAGAGGAAATTTTTAAGAAATTGACTATAATTAGATACACAGTTTAACTATAAATTTACATACACTAGCAAAGATTATAATATTTCCTCTCTTTTTCTTAGACATTTTATTTGCATTTCATGGAATTCCATCCATTCATATTGTAACTAAATATGAGAATATTTAATTTCCTTAAGGATTCCCACTATTTTGTATTTAAATTATCAAAATTAAGTGAACCGTGCCGAAATTCTGATTTTTCCTTAGCAACAACATAAGCTTCCGGAAACAAAACAGGGAACACAGAAATAAATCCCTCTTCAGAACACCAGGAGCCAGGTTGGTTTGGCAGTGACAGCTCTCATAACTGATGCACTAGGTATTCTAAGAAACACAACCCCAGGAATGAGCCTATTATTGATGATATATGCGATTTCTCATTGCTTTGTATGAGACTAAAACTTAAAACCCACGGGTGCATAAATCAAGTATACAAGTGTAAAGATGACAGTGCAAATATATTAGAATTTTTTTTTCTGCCACAAAATGTAAATTGATAAGGAATGAAGTTCCATTGTTTACTAGTTAAGGCCCTATTGAACTGGCTGAATAAAAGACTAAATAACGTTGTTTTCCAAACTTTAATTACTGTATGAGCATACATAAATAATCAACTTACCCTTTAAACCGTCTTCTTTTTTCAAATTCTCTCACATTATTGATTTTATCATCACTCTTGGAGCTCCAAAGCTGTAAACTTGAGGTTTTTCTTTTCGTTTTCCCTCTCTCTGGCCTCTCTCCTTCTTGTAATGTAAGGGTTGTTGATTCGCTCTTCATACTCCTTTTTAATACCGATATTCTTTCATTGCCAGTGTCACTGCTGTACTTCAGGCCTTCAAATAGGTGGAATTGAAATCTCCTACCACTGTCTCTGACTCCTCCTTTTTGCTAAACTCACTGTTGATATCTATGTTATTAAATTTCAGAAGAAATTCCACAGAAATCTTATTAAGACTCAGAGGAAATTTTCTAGCTTCCAGTTTCCTGCAAAACAAAATACAAATCCTTTAACTTGCAATTCTTCTCCACACCTCCATCTTCATCTCTTCAATTTCCCCAAGCTACTCCCACACCAGCTAAACCTGTCACCAACAGAAGTGAGTGCGAGTGTATACACACACACACACACACACACACACACCCATCCTTGAAGGCTTATATTTCATCCAAATATTTCTCAATCAAATATTTTTTTGTTTTATAATGAATGGATATATTTCCCTTCTTGAATGGATATCTTTGCCTAATTCATAGAAAACACAAAAGTGTATGTGTATGTGTGTATATATACACATATATACATGCACACACTTCAGAAGTGCATATATACATGCACACACTTCAGAAATTTATATGGATATATATTTCAAATATAATTTTTTAAACTTTTAATTTTATTATTATTATTTGTAGAGACCATGTCTCATTGTATTGCCCAGGCTGGTCTTGAACTCCAGGACTCAAGCAATCTTCCCACACTGGCCACCCAAAGTGCTAGGATTATCGGCATGAACCACTGTGACTGGCCTTTTTTTTTTTTTTTTTTTTTCTGAGACAGGGTCTGGCTATCACCCAGGCTGAAGTGCAGTAGCTCAATTACCGTTTACTCTATCTTCTGCTTCTCAGGCTCAAGCAATCCTCCCACCTCAGCCTCCCAAACAGCTGGGGCTACAGGTGTACACCATCATGTCTGGCTGATTTTTTTTCTTTTCTTTTTTCTTTTTCTTTTTTTTTTTTTTTTTTTTGAGACGGAGTTTCGCTCTTGTTACCCAGGCTGGATGGAATGCAATGGCGCGATCTCGGCTCACCACAACCTCCCGCCTCCTGGGTTCAGGCAACTCTCCTGCCTCAGCCTCCTGAGTAGCTGGGATTACAGGCACGAGCCATTGTGCCCAGCTAATTTTTTGTATTTTTAGTAGAGACGGGGTTTCACCATGTTGACCAGGATGGTCTCGATCTCTTGACCTCATGATCTACCCGCCTTGGCCTCCCAAAGTGCTGGGATTACAGGCGTGAGCCACAGCGCATGGCCTGGCTGATTTTTATATTTTTTGTAGAGATAGAATTTCACTAAGTTGCCAAGTCTGGTCTAGAACTTCTGAGCTCAAGCAATCCACCCACCATAGGCCTCCCAAAGTGCTGAAATTATAGGTGTGAGCCACTGTGATCAGCGCTTATTTATTTTTTTTGAAATACAATTTTTTTTTTTGAGACAGTCTTCCTCTGTCACCCAGGCTGGAGTGCAATGTCTAATCTTGGCTTACTGCAACCTCCACCTTGAGAATTCAAGCAATTCTCCTGCCTCAGCCTCCCAAGAAGCTGGAAAATACAATTCTTTATTAGAACTCAAGTTTGTATTATCCAACATTTAACAGAAGAGGAAAACAAAAACAATCCACACACCTGCCCTCTTCCCCAGCTTCTGGGGCTGAAGTAAGGAGCTTCCACTTTACACACACACACAAACACATACACAAGGGGATATACATATATATCTCTATATATCTTAACAGCTACCTATTTACCTATGTATGTGAGTGTGTGTGTGTGTATCAATAGATAGACACAGACAGACAGAGACAGATTGATTGGAGAGAGCATGCACGTGAGAGAGATTGACAGATATTTCAAATATAATATTTTCTTCCTAGAGATTTCTGGTGGTTGTGGCTATAGTTTTTATGACATAGTATAATCAAGCAGAGCAATAGTCAATGTGTTATTTTAATTGACCTAAATCAGTATTTTATAATGCCAAACAAAAAACAGAGAACATGATTTCCGGTCCTTCTCTGTCTGAACTAGAGGAACTACTGAGCTGCACAGTGTGTGAGATGCCTAAATCTTGCATATATCAGACAGTGAAAACCATGGCCTAGGTCTCCAGTGTCACTTTCTGTTGCAGTGGATCAGCGTCCCCTTTGCACTGTCACATCCTGCAGTCGCAGACATTGGGTTTACTGCTGTGCATGCCAAATACCAGAAGCCATGGCTGGGAACTGTTGACTCATCTGAAGTATACACTTGGCTTGATAGTTTCCTGTTGTTGGTAAGTAATGCTGTTACCTGAAGAATGTGATCTAATCATTCCTAAATCAAGTTTATTTTCAAGATTTTCATATTCATTGTAAAAAATGTGCTTGTGTGCTCATGGACGTTTCCAAATTGAGGACTCTCTGTCGGGAGGGTGGAGCCAGGGCCCGACTGTGGTAGCTGACAGTGTCAGGGTAGAGAACAAACGAGGCCCTAACACAACAGCATGAGGTGTTCTGTGTGGTGTGTCCTCATTTCTGTTGTGATGTAAGTCCAGGAATAACATGCCCTACCCCAGGACTTTCCCCAAGTGGAAGGCAAAACCATGTGAAAGCTTTATTATGTGTTTTATATTAAGGCATGAAACCCAACTTATGAAATAAGTCTCTCATTCACTCTTGAATTACAGAGTAAGTGAATTAGTAGTGTTAGAGGCCCCAAGTGAGGTGGGTTGGAAAGGGAGGTGTCACCCAGGAAAGATGCCAAGAGGAAGCCCTCAGGAGCCAGAGGAAGCTGGAAAACAGACAGAACCCTGGGGTAAAGGTGCAGGCACTTCTGAAAAGATAATAATAGCTGATCCCCTTGAGGCAAGAGGGAACAACCAGAAGAACAGACCAGATTTTATGGCTGTGCTAATTAGAGAAATTAGATCTGAAAAAACGCACTGTATTTGATTTCAACATAATAAATAGATTGTGGCAGAGTGTGATGGCTCACCCTGGTAATCTCATCACTTTGGGAGTCTAAGGTGGGAGGCTCACTTGATACCAGGAGTTTGAGAAAAGCCTGGACAACACAGCAAGACCCCATCTCTATAAAAATTCATCTCTTAGAAAAAGAAATAGATTACATTTCATAATAAACTTAAGGGGAAATTGGTTATTTTTGTTTTCTCTGTAGAAGATTGGCAATATTGTATGACTTTGTGATCATGGCACATGGCTGAATTTTGGCATTACCTCAACACCCAAAGTGACTGTGTCATTTCCAGTCAACGTTTTTCTAGGAAAAGGCAGGAAAATATATGTTTCCAGTAGTGGATTGGAGGGCTTCTTTGCCTAAGGATTGTTAAGAAATCCCTTGGCTCTCATTTTTCTGGAATGGCTTAAAATTATGAACTGAAGAAGTAAGAGTAAATATGTATATGTAACTATACCTGCATAGTATAGGTGCTCATGGTTACATCATAGAGATGATGAGACTTAGAACAATTAAGCAGTTTGTCAATCATCACACCATTGTCTGAGTTAGGGACTAAAACAGAATATTAAGACCTCACAGTCCTTTCCCCTATACCACACTTTGGTCTTCAGACTACTCATCTTTAAAATAAGACATTATATAACATGATTGCTAAATTTCTTCCAGTCTAAAAATTTATATGACTCAGTCATATTCATGATTCAAATTGTAAGACAAGTTAAAATGAAACAATAGATGTTGAATAAATGAATGTACTATAGAAATCAGACTTGAGATGATGCATCAGTGGTCTTGATCTTCCAGTTTTCTCTCCTACGTCCCCTACCTGAAGATGACTTGTCAAGTCCTGCTAATGATACTGTCCGTGTAACTCCTGGTCACACTTGCAACCTTCCCACAGTCGCCATATTAGCTCTCTATTAGGTAGACTGCATTTCTTACCTGGTCTGCTATGATAACCCCTACTAGTCTCCCTGATGGCAGCCTGCCCACCTCTTACTCCCCCATGCCCACTTTCCATATTGCCACCTGCCTTAGTCAGTTTGGGATGTTGTCACAATTTACCATAGACTGGGTAATGTATAAACAGCAGAATATCATTTTTATAATTCTGGAGGCTGGAAATCTGAGACCAGGAAGCCAGCATGGCGAGGTTCTAAAGACGGCAGTATTCCAAGTTGCAAATTGTCCACTTCTTTTTGTGCCCTCAGATGGTGGAAAGAGGGTGAGAGAGCTCTCTGGCCTCTTTTTAAAAGGGCACTAATCCCATAATAAGGGCTCTATCTTCCTGACCTGATTATCTCCCCCAAGACCTACCTCTGAATACCATCAAATTGGGATTAGAGTTTCAACATGTGAATTTTAGCAAGACAAATATTCAGTTCATTGCATCATGAGATCTTCTGTTTGCAGATGAAGTCAGACTTCACCTTCCTTAAAAATTTCTGATGACCTAAATGTCCCAGGTGATGAGTATGTGATTTATGATGTATCAATCAATATAAGTAACTGACGTGAAAGAGGTTAATGATATATTCATAAAACAGGTCATAAAATGAAAGAAAAATGTGGAAGAATATAGACGAGAAATGGGGTTATGAATTTTAGAAATTTTTCCTTACTTTTGAACATACATGGCTTTTATAAGAAGGAGATTGTTCTGGTATCTACGTATTAGACACTCTGCTTGGCCCAGGTGAGATCACGATAAGACAGATGTCTCCAGAACCTAGAACCCAGTAGGAGAGATAGGCAATTAATGAAACTTCAATACACTATGCTATGACAGGCTCATTCATCAATTCATTCATTCACGTAAGCAATATTTATTGAATACTGACTTTATGCCAGGAAAAGAAGTAACAGTAATCTAGCTAAAAGTATATTTCCAGCCTCTCCTCCTACCTCTCCCTCATACACTGACTTCTCATCAAACCAAATTCCCAGTGGTCTCAGCTGCCTGGTTGCTGTAGTTGTTTTCTTTTTTCCTATTAGTTTCTCTCTCAGGTACTCTCTTCTCCCTCCATCTCCACCTGGAAAATGCTCTCAAAGTTTATGGACAATCTGCATGTCATTTCTGCAGGTTTTCCTGTTAACATGCAGCTACCCTTTCTCTCTTCTTACCATCTCTCTCTCATCTCAAATAATTAGTGGTTTCTCATTTTAATTCCCATACGGACCTCTTTATATCATGCAACAAATTGCATTATAGTTTAAATATTTTTATTATATATGCTCAATAAGAAATTAAAGCACATTGCAATATAGGTATGTGTATCTATCAATTGCTTATATATTCTGTACTAATGTATGACATAAATCATTTAATAAAAGCAACCGTACAACATTTAGGTACAAAGTAAATGAGTATACATAGAAGTTCTAGTATTTTATTTAATGCCGGCTGTATTGCCTTGAGCACTCTGCAATGCTTACTTCGGAAAACACCACATACATTGACTCTCCCAGTAGAAGGCAAGTTCCAGGAAAAGAACCATGACTTATTCATCTATGTGCATTTACAGCCATTATATTGTCTGGCACATAATTGGAGTGTATAAATATTTTTGGATTGCGTTGATTCAGATTAAATGTCATACTTTCAAAATCTTAATTATTTTTTAGAACATTTTATGATGGTTAGGATCACCAGATTATAGCAAATTGAAGGCTTCTAGGGTAGTTTAAATGCTGTTCAAAATAGGTAAATTAATGAAAAGCAATAATTGCTCTATGAAATTACAGAGAAAAGGAACTCCAGGAATAATTGAAAGCTGATGATAACATTGTCTTAATTCAATTGGGTAACGAAGCATCATAAACTGAGTGGCTTATAAGCAACACAAATTTATTTTTCACATTTTTGACGGCTGGGAAGTCCAAGATCAAGATGCGGGCAAATTCAATGCCTGGTGAGGATTCACATCCTCATAGAAGGCACCTTCTCACTGCCTCCTCCCAGGGTGGAAGGAAAAAGAAAACTCCTTTGGTTCTCTTTTATAAGGAATCCACCCTTATGGGCTAATAATCTCCCAAAGTTGTCAACTTGATACCTAATACCATAACCTTGGGGATCAAAATTTCAATGTGTGAATTTGGGGGGAACATAAACATCAGACCATAGCAAACTAATTGATATTTGTGGTTACATGCCACATTTTTAAAATACTACCAAGTTGTACTTTTGACTATTGTAAATGTTATTGCAATAAACCTTTTAAAAAAAATGGAATAGATATTTGCCTCTAGTTCACTCTCCATCCTTGTGTTTCTCACACAGATGCTGGGTGGGATCCCATGGCAAGCATACTTCCAGAGGGTCCTCTCTTCATCTTCAGCTACCTATGCGCAAGTGCTGTCCTTCCTGGCAGCTTTTGGGTGCCTGGTGATGGCTCTCCCAGCCATACTCATTGGAGCCATTGGAGCATCAACAGGTAAATCTCCTGCAACTTCACCACATGTGCCAGTTAATTGACCAATCCCCACCCAGACACCCTTCCATCTCACTTCCCTCTCACCTCCACATAGCGAATTCCTTCTCATCACATTCATATATATATATAGTTTTCTTATAGCATTCAGCAAATTGTATTCTAGTTCAGCAGTCTCCAATTTTTTTTTTTTTTTTTGTAGAGATGGGGTTTTATCATCTTGGTCAGGCTGGTCTTGACCTCAGGTGATCCACCCACCTTGGCCTCCCAAGTGCTAGGATTACAGGTGAAAGCCACTGCGCCCACAGCCCCTAATTTTTTTGATTTCTCACTCCACTATGTAACGTTGGTGAGCACACTCTCCTCCCAGTTTTGGTCTATTTATCCATTGTTTATATGCACCCTTGTCAGCAGTGGATCTCAACCAAGGTGCATGCTGACATCAACTGGAGAATGGCGGGGGTTCTTTTAAAAACACCAATATCTAGCCTACTTCACAGGAATTTTATTTTAATAACCGAAGATAGAGACAGACACTAGTGTTCTTTTAAAATCCCTAGGTAAGTTGAAAGCTAGAGAGTCACAGGCTTAGAGTCCTCATGACCTCCATAAAGATTACTTTGAACTTGAGATTTCTGCTTTACATTTTTAGTAGTTTTTACTTAGGAGTTTTCTTTCTTCAAGAAATCAATGAATAAATGTTTAGTTCAAGACAAACTAAGAAACTAAGTCACTTACAGAATAACTTACCCAAAATTGGTTTTAAAGAAAGAGCATTACGAAATGTTTATCTCCCTGTTAGTCTCTATGTAGAACATGATCAAAAGCTAACCTTTAATTAATTAAATATATTAATTACTCCTGATCATTATGGTCCTGTGCTGTAACTTTTAAGAACACTCAGTGAAAATACATCATGTTAATCCAGATTCAAAGGCATCTGGTAGGTAGAGGTAACAAAATAGATTAAAGTTCATCTTTTGCCCTGTTGTATTTTGTAAAGGTAATCCAGGGTTATGTTCCTATGGCAACTTTGACTTTCAACTAGTTGAGTCATTTATTGGATTGTTTAACTTTTAGGAGAGCAATCCTGGTTCATAGTGTACACTCTCCATTCCAGTTGTTCATCCATGAGACAAACACTGCAAAAGATGTAAAGATGACTGACAAGGTGGTATGTAGTGTTTGTCTTTGAAAAAAAAAAATACGTATTTCTCTCCAAGCAAAAAACATATCTGTGTGTGTGTGTGAGTGTGTGTGTGTGTGTATGCGTGTGTGTGTTTGTTTATTGTAGGAACACAGGCTAATAGAAACAGCATTAAGCCTGTTTTTTATTAGATTAGACACACATTCTTGTTTGTTATTTCTGTTGTCATAACATACCAGTTAAAGCCATAAAGTTGCCTGCATGTAAGCATAGCTTTGGTACCAACTGTATAATAGAACATAAGGGAAGAAAAAGTGGTAAGATCCAAAGAAAACACTTCCTATTTGGTCCTATGATCATAATATTAAAGAAGTTCAGCAAATAAAAGGCCAACAATGCTAATGTACATTTAAGGATTCCATTGTTCTTCAACACATGCTACAACTAACCAGTAAAGAAGCTACGTACTCAAAGGTAAACCTGTTTCAAGTCTTCTTACCCTACCCACATCCAAAACTTCCTCATAATTTCAGCCACATGACTGTACTTTTTATTCAATAAAAAGGGACTGTTCTTAATCTAGTGAAATTCTATGCAATGTGAAAATAGTTGGGAGGAAATTAATGCTGAGGCAGCTTCGAAACCAAGTTTATATGCGGAAAGATGACAGCTGAGCATAGCCCCACTATTGTCTTTCTTCATTTACACATGGATAACTGAGCCTTAAAGAAGAAACAGTGAATATCCTACCACATTTCCAAGTGGTTGAAGGGATACTCTAGAATTCTGTTTATGAGCATTTGTTTTCTATGATTCTACACAATGCAATACCATCATTGCAGAAAAGAAATATATGTCTTACCACTAGTGTCTGTGCAGGCATTGTGAATAAGACTAATAAAACCATATCCTTTAGAAGCAAGGAGATATAAGACATTTCCACTTAACTAGCATGTGGACTTCACACCTAAGCAGACTAATGTTCATGATTCTGAGTTTATTTCAAAACAACCTAGTAAATAAGATGACCCCAGATAGATTAAGAACATTTGGCCCCTTGGTTGTTGTAATGGTTGTTGATTCTGTTCAACAGACTGGAACCAGACTGCATATGGGCCTCTAGATCCCAAGACTAACGAAGAGACAGACATGATTTTACCAATTGTTCTGCAGTATCTCTGCCCTGTGTATATTTCTTTCTTTGGTCTTGGTGCAGTGTCTGCTGCTGTTATGTCATCAGCAGATTCATCCATCTTGTCAGCAAGTTCAATGTTTGCACGGAACATCTACCAGCTTTCCTTCAGACAAAATGTAAGAACTTTCTTTCAACCTGTAATTGACCAGCATTGCTATTGCTGCTCCTGGTGTTGTATTTGTTGTATATACAGCATTATATATTAATTAATATTCTACATCAAATCTGACTGTACTTTGATTAAACATATGAGATTCAATAATAAATTATACTTATGCTGAAGGGATGCTATCAATACATGACATTACTCATGTCAATACTGAAGGAAAAATATTGATATAATTATTTCCCAAGAGGTACAATCATAGGGCTATCATTTAACTTTCTTGTCTTTCTGATGAAAGAGTAATGAAACCTAAACTATCCAGCAAAACTATTAGTATAAGTAAATTGTCTATGACGCTGGAGAAGCTTGGTAGAAGCAGGGCATAGCAAGTTGTTTGACACATATTTGTGTATTTGACACGTATTTCTGAACTGTTTTATATTTGCACTCCCAAGTCCACCTTTGCAGGAAAACATCCTCTCAATTAGATTTTCCTTATTGAATCAAAGTGGCTGCAAAACAGCAAGCTTCTTGTTTGATTAAAGTTTTGCCTCTCTGTAGGTTATGGTTGACAAAACAATGCCAGTGTTTTTGCTTTTGTTTTGTTTTGATTTGATTTGAATTTTTGTTTTGTTTTGTTTTTTTCAATTTAACCAAGGTACCCCTTGGATAAGGCATTTTTTTTTTAAATTTTACTTTAAGTTCCGTTACATAAGCATATGCGTGCCATGGTTGTTTGCTGCACCTATTGACACACCCTCCAAGTTTTCTCTCCCTGCACCCACCCCTGCCCCCCAACAGACCATGGGTGTGTTATTCTCTCCCTGTGTCCATGTGTTCTCATTGTTCAACTCCCACTTATGAATATGAACATTGGTGTTTGGTTTTCTGTTCTTGTGCTAATTTGCTGAGGATGATGGCCTCTAGCTTCATCCACGTCCCTGCAAAGAACATAATCTCATTCCTTTTTATGGCCACATAGTATCCCATGTTATATATGTGCCACATTTTCTTTATCCAGTTTATCATCAAGGGGCATTTGGGTTGGTTCCCTGACTTTGCTATTGTAAATAGTGCTGCAATAAACATACGTGTGCCTGTGTCTTTTCAAGAGCATGAGAAGGTAGTTAGCCTTAAGGATAATAGCACTTCTACAAAGAGATAAAGTAAGGATGGCCTATGCTCTGTCAATGCCACATAAGAACTGTTCCCTAATATGAATCCTCCCTTGCTTTATTATCCTTCTCTGACACCATGTTAGCTCATCCTACCTTTCACCCTATGCATTCAGGAAAATGTTCAGGTAGCCTAGGCATCATGCATCTGGTACACAGAAACCACTCCCAAAAGTCCACCCAGGAAGCCACCTTGATTGCTTTTGGTACTGTAGCTGATGTAAGGTTTTCCCATAGATTGAGCCATTTGAACCAGGGGAATTCTTTAAACCAGTTTTGAAGCACAAAATGTGTCTCATTTTTTGTCTAAATGAGCCAAGACACTGTGCAGAAAATTGACACTGTGGCAATTTCTTACAGGCTTCGGACAAAGAAATCATTTGGGTCATGCGAATCACAGTGTTTGTGTTTGGAGCATCTGCAACAGCCATGGCTCTGCTGACAAAGACTGTGTATGGGCTCTGGTACCTCAGTTCTGACCTTGTTTACATCATCATCTTCCCCCAGCTGCTCTGTGTACTCTTTGTTAAGGGAACCAACACCTATGGGGCCGTGGCAGGTTATGTTTCTGGCCTCTTCCTGAGAATAACTGGAGGGGAGCCATACCTGTATCTTCAGCCCTTGATCTTCTACCCTGGATATTACCTGGATAACAATGGCATATATAATCAGAAATTTCCATTTAAAACACTTTCCATGGTTACTTCATTCCTAGCCAACATTTGCATCTCTTATCTAGCCAAATACCTATTTGAAAGTGGAACCTTGCCACCTAAATTAGATGTATTTGATGCTGTTGTTGCAAGACACAGTGAAGAAAACATGGATAAGACAATTCTTGTCAAAAACGAAAATATTAAATTAGATGAACTTGCACCTGTGAAGCCACGACAGAGCATGACTCTCAGCTCAACTTTCACCAATAAAGAAGCCTTCCTTGATGTCGATTCCAGTCCAGAAGGGTCTGGGACTGAAGATAATTTACAATGACCTCATCTAAATAAAATACTGCTTTTACAAACAAAGCACTATAATAGGGTAGTTCTGGAGAGATGGTTTGCAGAATACAAAAATATACTATCAAATAATGTTCAGGAGGATAAAAATTCATATTAAGTGCAATTGCACAAATACAAGCCAAGCTAGCAGGAAGCTCCTATGAAAGCAACAACTTTCTTTCTCATCCATATAGAGTTGAGTTTGATGCTAGATAGTTTTGCTAGGTATAAAAAATAAACAAAGCCCCACTTCAAGAAAAAACAGCCAAGCCAGAGTATTTATATTTATTGCAAAAAGAGGGAAGTAGATAAGAAAGAGCCTAAGGAAAAGGAAATTGGATAGTTTTGATACAAACTTTGTTAATACACTGATGAATTCAGTTTAATTATAGTATTGAAGCTATGAGAATAATTTCAGTTACTCCCTTGAATGGTGTAATGAATTAACCAGCTGATTTTTCTTAGTGTGATGATTAATCCTTTCTTTCATGTTCTGAGCTATAATATTTGCTGAATATGAAGTTTGTTATTCTTTTAGTAATGGCATGTAACATTCTGAGCAAGGGCAAAGCAAACACAAAAAGTATTGCATCCTGGCACTTATTTATGTGCAATGTGGTAGGAAGATAGAATCCACCTTTGTAGAGGAGCACTGGGCAGATTTGTATGTTTCCATAGCTACTATATGCATAAACAAGAGTACCTGAAGGATTATTAGCTGACATTAAAGCAATAAGTTCATTAAGCAGAAAGTAATAGGAAGAACAGTACATTTTTATCTTCATCTGAAGCATATAAAGTTTTGTCCCATGATAAAATAAGTAATATCTAAACTAGTATATAAGTTAATATTGGAAGTGAAATTGAGCCTTACGTAAGGAGAGGTAGCTACACAGCATCAGTAATGTTTAATAAGAGGCACCTGATAAATTAACATATATTTTATTGAATACTAGTTATGGAAAGCCCCCACAACACCTCCTGAAAGTAGTAAAAAGAGAAAAAACAAACTCTACTAAATTTTACATATTCATTGATAGGAAGGATTTAATGTTAAGGGATCTACTCTTTGGCATTTTTTCATATAAGCCAGTCCTAGAGACTAGACAAATAACTACTACAAAAAATACATAGTCAATTTTAAAATGCAGAAGAAAGCAGAAAATAAAATAAGTCCTAAAGGAAAGAAGCCATTAAGTATTTGATGACTATATAACATTCATGAGATTGGTCATTAAATAATGTTTTGCTCCTTTTCTGGTGTGCGTATAAGTGTGTGGGTGTAATGGTTTGTGTCCATTTCAAATGTTTTCACACCAGTCACACATTATAGAAATAATTGGAGCCATGTCTAAAACAGCAGACTGAAGCGATGAACTGAAAATTGATCAGGGAATCTGATGCCATAAAGTCAGTCTGAATTGTTGAAACTAAAGCAATTTTTTCAAAAATATTTCTTTTTTGCAAATCATGAACAAAATAAACTTAGTGTTCAGTATTAAGAATAAAAGTTGTATCTTGACCCTAGAATTTCTTTTATAAGATTTAACTGTAATTGTTTCAAAACATCAAGTAATACATCTTTATCATTAAACATGAATTTAATGTCTAAGATCATTTTTAAAAGATAATTTTTATTTTAAAATTATTTTAAAATTAAATAATTTTGCATGTTATATTTTCAGTGCCTTTTCAAAATCTGGTGGCAAATATTACACTGCATTCAAAATATTCACTGAATACCATATATATCTAAATGAAAAGAGAATTACTTTTACTAATCTATTTTCTCAAAATGTATTCAGTACACTATGTAGTACATGGAAGGAGTGTATTTTTGGAACCAGTAAGGATGGGAGTGCATGATTCTCAGATATTAATTGAGAAAAGAGAAATGGGAAGGAAATTTATTAAAGAAAAACTGCAGAGATTAAAACATTTAACACCTATAAGTAATTAATTGCTGGAGGGAGACCATGTATTCCAAATGCACCATGCTCCTCAGCATCCTACCTGAACACTGACTTTTATCCATCCTGTCACCCTGAGCATCTGTCTCAACCTGCTAAGTAAGGCACAGGCTTCCACCATGTGCATCAGGAAACACCTCACTCATACTGTCATAGAATGCAACAGGGAGGCATACTCTCTCTTCAGGTCTCTTTACATTGTACCATTCTGTTGGGCAACAATTGTCCAATCAGCCACACTTAAGTCCAGTGGGGAAAAAAAGATTAACAGTAAAAATGTTTTCCATTTAATTCAATTTCTAACAATAAACAGATACAGGGGGCAAATGTTTGCCCTGTTCAAAATATTGAAACTAGATAACTTAAATAATTTCAGCCTATGAATAATACTATATTGTTTTGAACCCATTATTCCTCACTTACTTTCAAAGTAGATATATAAAAAACTAGTTTTTTATTAATCCCCTAATGTACTAAATATTAGCAAGATGATTTTTAAGTATAAAAAAATTTAAAGAACACAAGAAAGGAAACAATGATCACAAGATCTTCACTTAACATATTTGTGCATAAATTTCCCCCCAATTTCCAAGACAGTTATATCACAAAGCTGTGAAATGTGGAAGAGTAAACTTTGTACCCATCATTTGCTCTGTTTTGACATAATGAGTAATGCAGACATTTATGTATTCTTCCAGCTTCAGTCAATAGACTTGATTTTCAAAATCTGCCCTCAAATGAAACTAAAATGAACAAAACATTTAGACACTAGCTATATTAACCTTGGAAGGCAATATATGTGGATAAAACATTAGAATAAAACATATATTTTATTTTCAAACTTTTGATATGATTGTTACATATTTCTTGGGTAATTTAAATACTTCTCTTTCCCACACATATTCAAAACAGCAAGCTTGTAGCTGGACTGCAACATCAACAACAAGTTGTTTCACGCAGTATCAAAGAACAAATTCATTGCTACACTTACAAGTAATGAATTTTATGTGAATATGAAATAAATATAAGCTTGAAATAAGTGAATCTAATATAATGGCCATTTCTCTTTTTATTTGGAAATAATGAATTAACATTATATTTTAAACATAAATTATGATTTTTTTCTGTTTAAGCCTTCACGTAAATTTACACTGGTATGATGTACAACTCATTGTAAATTTGCCACTTGATAGATGCATACAATAATTCTAGAACATATATTTTTGTCTGTCAAGGTATTATATAAAATTATGCTTAAAATAAGTAGATTTACAACTGTGTAAATGTTTTAAATGTAATGGTAATATATTAAATTGTACTGGTCAATTTAGGATATTGTTGTCTAAATTTGGCTTTTTGGGGTCCTCTCTTAAACTAAATATATATGGTGCTTCAGTGCTTCAAGACAATAATGGAATGAAATCAAAATAAGCCGCCTCATTACTGGAGGATATGCAAATGCTAAGTGGAAATGCTGCACCACATGTAAGTCTTGGGGCAATATATATCATATCTCAAAAACAAATTTAAATTGTTTTCTTGGAAAAGACATTCTACCATTGTACACAGGTCTTTTGTGAATCCAAGAAATCAATAGAATGATATCTATTAAGAGTCTCCTGCACTACTGACTGAGCTAGCCAGGTGACTCCAATTATATGCACTCCAATCCCATAAAGAATATCTCCATTTTTCAAACCAAACAGCTGCCTAACAGTTACATGAAGTCAATCAATAAGTGACAAACTGGCTGTCACTGTGCTCCAACTATGTGCTCTGTATCTCTCATCTTATTCTCTCAAGGTGTCTTTAAACATGTCGTTGTATGTACTCTCAGAAGAACTTTGGCCTTTCATGCCTTAATTATAATAACCAATAGTGCCTTTGGAAGTATACAGGACAGAAGGCCCTAGAATGAGTGTAGGGATGAATCAAGGAACGAATTAAGTAGGTATGTCATCGAGTTGTCTGAGTTGGGGACACACTTCTGAAGATTATACATTTTTGTTTTATCACAAATCTATCATGTGGGGGGAATTATTAAGAACCAGAAAAGAGACAGCATCAGAATATAATATTGGGCCTCTGGACGTTTTTTTCATTTTACTCATTGTAACTAGAGAGCTTAAATTTGATCCTTGGCGTTCTTCTAAGACAGGCATTCTTAAGAGAGATCCAGGGAGCTATGGGATAATGATAATTATTATTTCTACAATTTTTATGCTATCACCTAAAGAAAAGTTCCAAAACAGTAAAAACAGCCATTGTATCTTATTTGAATTCTCTAAAGGCAGAGAATTTGTGGTGATCCTACTTTTATTTTTGGTTGGAAAACTATAGTTATTTATTTGAAAGAGGTACTGCATTATGTATTTTGGAGCCAAACTGCTGTGTTGATTTATCAGTTTGTCATATAGAGGCAGTTAAAAAGCATAAACCAGAAGGCTAAAAATCTGATAGAATTTGGAGCAAGAGGTATTATTGAAAAAAGTAATTGAAAACAGCCTCTGATAGTGCAGTGCCACAGGTGAAGCTGAAGAGAACACTGTAGTTTCCATGTCGATAAAATGCACAATAGCTGAATGAGCAGTTGGTTAAAACCATGGCTAACACTATGAAATTCTAGAAAATAAAAATGAAAACCCCAGGTCATCGCAGAAGTTTCCCCTTCTTGAATTGAACTCTTCCCTCCCTTTTCCTCGGCATTGAAGGCATTTGGCAAGTGTTAGCACCTAAAAACAAAGAACAGGCATATGGTTTTCTCCTCTCCACTTTAAAGCTCAAAATTCTGAGGTCCTGAGTGGCTGGCTAAAGGGTCTCAGAATCATCTGGAGACATTGTGACTCACAAAGCCCTGAAGGATGTAGAAGGATGGTGCCAGGAATCACATTCTCTTTCCTTGGGGCCTGAAAATGGATAGAGCTGGGAGAATTATTAAAACACTTTGAATTTCTTTTATTTTTGTAAGGCTTCTTATTTAAATAATCTTTAACATCTTTTGTATCCCTAAATTTTCAACTATGCCCTTATTAGGAAACCTATTCAGAGATTGTAGCATAGCTTTGTAGGCAGTAATTGAGAGAGAGTGGGACCATAGAACAAGACACACATGGATTCTCACAGCAGCTCAGCAACAAATTGAGGGACACAAGAGTTGTATGGTCTTAGCCAAGTCACTTAATCTCTGTGAGCCTCAATTTCCCAGATGTAGATGGTATTTGCTTGTTACTGGTAAATTATATGATGCACACAAGCTTACCTGAAACCATAACTATCACTTTGCAACTGGAAAAACTGTGACAACATTTATCTAGCTTTTAGGAAATCATCTTGACTTTGAATCTTGTATTCAACTAGTTATCAGCATGGATTCTATGTTAAGGATGAAAAAAAAGGGATATGTTTTAAAATACATTGACTTATAGGTCATTTTTGCTTTACTTGGCTTTTCAGACCTCATTCAACAGAAATTTTATTCTGTGCTGCATGCACCCAAATGGTGCTTCATACATGACCACCGGTTTAACTAGGAGTAGCTAAGTCCATGGTAAAGTTTACCTCAGCATTTATATTGGAATTTTTGGGCAATACCACTTATTCAAGAGTACTTTGTGCCCAGAGTAAAGAACAGAAAGGGAAAAGCCTGTGGCAGTTTTGCAGGCTGGGGACGTCAGTGAAAAATTTCTTTAGCTTAGTTACCATGTGTATTTCTGATCATTTCATTAGAAGATATCACATGATTCAAATGATTTTTAAAGAGGTAATAACAATGACAGGATATTAAAAATTATTTCTAATGAGTAAATCAGCCAAAATTGGCCTTCAAAGCTCATAAATGTGTATGTTGAGAGTGGGTTGGGGGTCGGAAATATGTGCTAATGGGTTCCAATAAAGATTAACATGAAATATGAAAACATCAAGGCCAAGCAAGTATTGCAAACCACATGACTCTATGTAGGTTAAAATGTCCCAGGCATAGCTGATGGCCATGGGCACAAAATGTAAGCCAGGACTTAAGTGCAAGGAACAATTTGGGTTGAACCCATGCAGAGAAATTGCTGTCTCAAACACATTTGTTTGTGTTCAGAGAGCTTGAACATACACAATGAATGCCACATGCTCTGGTTTCTGTTAATCAACATTAAGTCCAAATTTATCCTTAAGAAAAAATCTAACCTACATAGTGTTCTATTTTATAATAACTTCCTTTTTACATTTTCATTTGTTCAGCAACATTTCCATTAAATAACAACATATGTAGTAAATGTTTCCCACAGTTTATTTTCCAAGAGAACTACAAAGTCCCAGAAAAATCTTTTTAAAACTAGAGATTTGTAAACATAATATAAAATAAAAAGACTTGTTTATGACTTTGTGCACATTTGGTACAGTCTCCTACTCTTTTCACATCTATTATAGCAGTTATTTAGAGGGACTAAAAAAAAAAAAAAAACCTTACAAGTAATTTTAGTTCACTCCATCTCCTAATCAAAAAAAGACTTTTTAAACAATAAAATCTGAAGTAGAAGCAAGTTTTCAACATTCATATTGGTGGCCTGTTAGAGTCTGCTTTGAAGATTCTTCTTTATTACTTTCATCATGTCCTGACCCTAGGTGTTAGGAGATGTTGCCTTCAGTCCTGGCTTTCCTCCTGTGTGCTCTTGGATGAGTTCATTGATCTTCCCTCATCTCAAATCATGCTCTATAAATGACATAAATTTCTATAAAGGCTCTTTAAGACCTCTCCCTCTGACTTGAAATTTAACCCTATGTTGGTCTACACCTCCCCTCCATGTCAGATCAGACGTAATTCATCACTTATACTAAAGCTATTTGAATTATTCCAAGATCTCATTTCCTATTCTCTCCCTCATTGCCACTGACAGCTAGTGATACCATGATACCATCTCAGCCAGTGAATTATCCATTTTCTCCTGCTAAGAGATAGAAAGGGAGGAGTGGGAACAATACTTTTTTAACAAGAAAAGTAACACTCATTTGCCTCCTCCAAGTCCTATTTTCTTACCATCAGAAATGTCTATTAGTGAATCCAGCCCATCTTGTAATGTTAACAACATACAATTGAGTGTCACTGTAAATATACCCTTCACTTTGTCCTGATCGTTGGCAAAAGTCTAAGGTATTGAACAACTCCAAGTTACCCAGCAGGCACCCCCTTGGAACCACAGGCCTACCCTAGCAGCCTCTGAAATATCTGCCTCCTAGTCTATGTTGAGCCTTCTAAGACCCATAATACCCTACTCCCTCAAAACTGGGTTATTTTTATGTGCGTTTCATCCACTTACTTGAGTGTTATTCAACAAATGTTTATTGAACACCTATCATGTGCTGTTCTAGGAACTGAAGATACACATATAAATAAGAAAATTAAGATCTTTTTTCTCATGGAATTTACATACCAGTTAGGAGAAGAAATGGAAGGAAGAGGGAGAAAGACAATAAAAACATAGCTGCAGAAAGTATTACTGATGAGGAAAACAAATAGGGTGTCATGGCGTTTGGGTGGGTACTGAAGGGTCATTTTAAATTAGGTGAGCATGGAAGGCCACTAGGAAGAACTGAGTTTGATATGGAAACTTGGATGACAGAACAGAGACCGGTGTGCAAAATGGGGGAGGGGAGGGGGGAAGAATGGGGAAACTACTACTTCCATCATTTCAAAACTGTTTTTCATGCAGCCAGTTCATTGCTATTTTAGTTAGTTATCCTGGATTCTGAGTAAATGTATCTTCTGACAAGCACTCTTACAATACTTCAAGTCACCATACTGCATCTCAGTATTGCAGAATTGAACTTGTGGTTATAATCAACATATCACCATCCTCCCAAGTTATTCATCTTCTTTCTTTTCTTCAGTCACAATATGGCCTTACTTTAAATGTCTGGCATCAATTCAAATGCCAGTTGGGGAAACTTGAGAAAATGCATCATTAAATTATAGGACTCAAGACAGGGGAAAGAAAATGAAGGCAAGATACTGGTTGGGAAACAAATGTAAAATGGAATAAGAGACAGAGAACAAGGCAAGAACTAGGGCAATGATGAGGTGCATGTAAAGATCAGAATGGTGGGAAACCAAGGCAGGATGATTACTTGAGAACAGGAATTCAAGACCAGCCTGGGCAACATGGCAAGACCTCATCTCTACAAAAAAAAAATTAAAAGATTGACAAGCATGGTGTTGTGAATCTGTAGTTTCATCTACTCAGGAGGCTGAGACAGAAGAATGGTGTGAGCCCAATGAGCTATGATCTTGCCACTGCACTCCAGCCTGGGCAATAAAGTCCCTGTCTCTAGGAAATCAGCCCAAAA